TTGGCAAGTACACACACCCTTTGACAATTAATTAATAAATGAATAAATACGAGAGAAAAGAAAGATAGTAGATTATTTCATTACTAAATTACTAGCTGACTAAAGGTAAGAAATGTCCATATTCACCTATCTCCATGTTGACTTTAGATCCAGTAGTTCTGTTCCTTTTAATACTCTGCCCCATTTCCTTTGTAAGAAGATGATGTGGTTATGCTTATTCCTTATGACAATGTTAGTGCTTTTTTTTTTTTTTTTTTTTTTTACATTGAAGCTCTGTCACAGGAAGTACATAAGGTATGTCTATAGTACAGTCTATGCGCTTTATGTGAAAAACATTTTTGAAAGTCTCACCCAAAAAAGGTTGTTCTGTGTTATCATAAAATATAATTTCAGTGTTTATATGTCTACATCATCCCTGTCTCTCTTTCCAGGCCGGGCATTTTACCTATGGTCAGTATATTTTCTTAATTCTTGGCACTTGGCATCAGCTTTGCCCTGCTCCAGGACGGTCTTCCTGATAACTCACAAGCTTTGCATTCCCACAAGCTCTGCTGCTGAAAGAGTGAATCACGAAAATGTCGTATGCTGGGGGTGGTCTGTGTGTGTCAGTGTTGAAGTGTCTCTACTCTAATGAGCATCCAGTTTTAGACTAGTGTATAAATATTTAACTCTGAGGAATGTGTCCACAGCTGCTTTTTCATTTCACTAGTCGACGGGTTTTGCTTGTGAGATTTAAGGGTGTATTGATCTGAGTCTTAGGAGATTTTTTTTTTTAACATTCCAAGTTTATTTAATAGATGTGCTATGAAGAGAATGGAATGGTGAGAATTTTTATAAAAATTCACAAGTTATTTTTATTTTGTAGAATGAGTCAAAAGCCAGCAGTGAAATCAAAACGCATAAATCGGAGCAAAAGGAGAATGTGCCCCCGGCTCCCGAGGTCTGCCTCTCTCATCAGGAGGGAGAGAAGGTAGGTTGAAAAGACTGATGCCCATTTGCCAAGGAAGCATGTGTTCTAAATTAGATGCCTAAAATTAGAAACAACTATAACGCTAGGCTGTAGAGTGTCTGGGAATTTGGTAACAGCTGCCAGGACAGATTGTCATTTTTGCAGGTCACATAATTTCAGTGGGGATGCTCTGCAACTTATAGCTGACCAGATAATGAACCATCATTGGAACATTATTTTGCTTAGCAAATGCTCAGGGGGGCATAGGGCTAAATTGATCTTTTAAAAAAATCAGTTTGTGGGGGCCAGCTGTTGGCATGGTAGTGAAGGTGTTGGACTTCCACGTGTCCAGCTGCGGTTCAAGTCCCACACCCAGAGGCTTGAAAATCACTCCTGGTACGTGTGCCTGCATGCCCAAGATCCCAAGGGGAGAATGAAGAAGGGATTGCAGCATGGTCACCCTCACTGAGGGATGTCTCTCTTTATATTTCTCTCTTGGGTGAGTGCACCTACCCTGTGGCCAAAACCTAGGAGAAAAAAAGAAAATCAGTTTGTGGCCAGTCAGTGGTGTGGTTAAAATTACTGGATCTCTCATAGCCAGCTGTGCAGTTTTAGTCCCAGACCGAGCTGCTTGAAAACTTTGCTGGTGGGCCAGCAGGTTTCCTGATGGTTAAGGCACTGAACTCCCACATGCCTGACCATGGTTCGAGTCCCAGACCTGGCGGCTTGCTTTCTCACTTTCCCTCTCTCTCTCTGGTGAGTGTGCATGCCCTGTAGCAAATTGAAAAATGATAATAATGATAAATATAAATAAATAAATAAATCTAAGAAAAGAAAAGAAAACCATGCTCAGCCAGTGTATATGTGTGCCTAAAATATCACAAAGAGAATTGGAGAAGCAATCATGGTATGACTGTCCCCCCTGAGGAGGGATTTCTTGCTTTTCCTTACTCTCTTTCTCTCTCTGGTGAATGCATGGACCCACTATCAATATTTAAACAAACAAAAAATCAGTTTGGAATTATTATCTTCAAATTTCTGTGTTTTTTGTTTGTTTGTTTATTTGTTTTTCCTATTTGACTAGAGAGGGAGAAAAGGAGAGAGCAAGACAGAGAGGGAACATGAGAAAGTAAGCCACCAGGTCCAGGACTCGAACTGCAATCAGCCATGTGGAGTCCAGTGCCTTAACCACCATGCCCATTACTGTGTATTCTTAATTTAAGTCTATATTTAACAAACTTTATGCATTCTTTCACTCAAAGTATCTTGAATGCTAGGCACTATGCTAAGCATAGCAATGCTAAACTTAAAAATGAAAGACAAGCTATTCCATATGGTCCTTGCCTTCCAGGAAACTAGCAGAGTAGAAGGGAGATGAGTAACATGTTGACCATCACAAAGCAGTGTGGTAGGTGCTGTGAGAGGATGGTCCAAGGCCAGAGAAGCTCAGACTAAGGATATTTAACCAGATCGCTTCAAAAAGGTGATGTTGGGACCAGCAGTTAGCCTAATGGCTATGTCACTGGACTCCCATGTAGTTGACCATGGTTCAAGTCTTGGACCCGGAGGCTTAAACTCACACCAGGCTCATTTGCGTGTGTGCCCAAGATTCCGAGAGGAGAATGGAGGAGAAGGGATTGCAGCATGGCCATCCCCCACTGGGGGGGGGGGTGATTTCTCGCTTTCTGACTCTCTGTCTCTCTCTGTCTTTCTGGCGAGCGCATGCACCCTGTAGCAAAAAACTCTCCAAAAAAAGAAAGAAAAAAAAAAGGTGATGTCTAAACCACTTTTTTATTTTTCTTTAATATTTAATTTAATTTTTTTTTTTGAGAGAGAGGTTTTTCCTATAGGGCACATGTGCTTGCCAGAAAGACAGAGAGAGACAGAGAGACAGAAAGCAAAAAATCACCCCCTGGGGGGATGGCCACACCACAGTCCCTTCTCCTCCATTCTCCTCTTGGGATCTTGGGCACGCATGCACATGTGCCTGGTATGAGTTTAAGCCACCGAGTCCAGGACTCAAACTGCGGTCAACTACATGGGAGTCCAGCGACATAGCCATTATGCCAATTGCTGGTCCCTCTGGCAGTTAAAATAATTTTTTAAAATGTTTTAAAAGGGAGAACTATCCTTCAAGATAATACTAGAGATTCATTATAGGTTCATTCATTTATTTTAATTTGACCAGAGAAAGAAAGAGGGAAACTGAGAAAGCAATCCGCCAGGTCTGGGACTCAAACCATGGTCAGCCGTGTGGGAGTGTCCAACGCTTTAACCACTATGCTACTTGCCGGTCCTGGTAAATTTGTTTTATAGCTATCAAAAGGTCTTCTATGTGGCAAACTTATTTCAGAAGAATGTATTTGGTTGGCAAATGGGGAACCTGGAAATAAAAAAGAATAGATCCTTTATTTAAATACTTTATCTTACCTTGGAGTGAATTATGGTTATATGGTGAGGAGCTTTGCTCTCTGAGCTTGATAGAGGGTTTTGTTTTGTTTTGCTTTGTTCGCTGGGAGTAGAAAGATACGGTTTATAGGTTCTTTTACAAAGGGAGATGATGCACACTTTTGGCAGTTGTGTGCAGTCTGTTTTTCACGTTGCTCTGTAATTGAGAGGCGTGTTAATATCCTCATAAAAGACATTTGCTGCCTCTTGTTTAAATGCTCAGCTGTTCTGGTGCCCGTTATTTCCCCCAGGCAGCCAGTGACTGACTGGAGTCAGCAGGTTTTTATGGCATTAACAGCAGTTTGCTCTTTTATTTTTAATGTGATTGTTAATCCCCCTCCTTTTTTGTAGGCTTCTGCAACTGAGAATAGCCTGGCAGCCCGTTCCACCCCCGGTGAAGATGACTCCCGTAAGCATTTGTTCTTAGATCGAGAGGGCGAGGTCCTGGTTCTCTGTTCACATTTGGTTCAGGGGTGTTCCTTATTCTGACAGGGCTGAGAAAATAATGAACCAAAATCCAACAGTTTAGCTGGTCAAATCTTCCACTTGATTTTATGGAATATATTTCACATGTTTCATGGCATGTTAAATCCAATTAAAATTATTAACTTGGGACAAACTGAATACTGGGGATGCTTCTCTCCTTGAAGTTATCCTAACTTTTTGTACCAAACCCTTTCAGGGTTAAAGCTGTATGAACTAGTATTGAAATTTAATTTTGATAAAAATTTGACCAAGAAGGATTTTATTCATTTATGTGATAACGAATAGGTATTTGTGGATCAGCCCCATAACTTAGTGGTTAAGGGAGATAGAGCCTATGGTTCAGATCTTGGCACAGGTGGCTCGAAAAACGTGCCAGGCATGTTTGCATGTATGCCCCAGATCCTGACAGGATAGAGAAATGGAGGAAAAGGGATTGCGGAATGGCCACACCCCCTTGGAAGACTCTCTCGCTCTCTCTCTTTCTCTCTCTCTCTTTCTCTCTCTCTCTCTCTCTCTGTGTGTGTGTGTGCACGTGTGTGTGTGTTGCTGTTTCTGGAGAACAAACATACATGTTCTCTGGCAAAAAAAAAAAAATTATAGCCTGCTAAAAATATCTTTTTCCTGCTTACTTAAATGTGTGTTGTAACCCTTCCCCTTAGCCAGATTCAAGGGGTGTTGGACAATATTTCTTCCCATTTTGGAGCCCTTTTGAGCCTCACTTCTCCCAAAGAAAAAAATGTGTTTAGGTTTGACTTAACTACACCCACTTTTGATTCTGACATTCAGTGTGGTATTTTTAAATATATGTGGATTTTTAGCTCCTCTCCAGAAGTTTACTAGACACTGAAAACTCTACAACTAAAGTAGAAGTATGAGTTAAACATAGTTTTAGTAAATTCTCCTTTAAACTTGCGGAAAAACTCACTGCTCGAATCCAGGAACATTCCTTTTGCAATAATTTTGCTTGGACTAGAAATGTTTCTGGGTTTTAACTAGATTTGCAAAACATTTTTTGAAAAATAAGCCATAATATTTTAGTGCTTAGTTGACTAACTCTAGATTTTAAGGAATTCTTTTATGGTTCCTAAGTAGCTATATAAATGGATTTTCTGTGTATTCTGAATTCTATGGGATGAACATACTAGCAGGAAATTAACTCATGCAACTGACAACTCAATTATTATGCCAAGAACCTCAAGGGGCCCTTTTCTATCCTCTTCATCCATGGATATCTGCTGTAGCAAGGAGCCCAACCACTCAGGCCATGGACCAGTACTAGTCTGTGGCCACATAGCAGGAGGTGAGCAGAGGGTGAGTGCGGAAAGTTTTCTCTATATTTATAGCCTCTCCCCCATCACTCACATTACTATCGAACTCTGCCTCTGTCAGATTAATGGCTTTATTAGATTCTCATAGGAGCATGAACCATATTGTGAACTATATATGTGGGATATAGGTTATGAGTTCCTTATGAGAATCTAATGCCTGATGATCTTAGGTAGAGCTGAGGTGGTGATGTTGGCACTGGGGAGGGCTGCAAATACTGCACTATAGTGAGTTGTATAATTATTTCATTTTATATTGTGTTGTAATAAATTTTTTTAAAGTGTACATTAAGTGTAATGTGCTTGAATCATCCCTAAATCATCTCCTTTACCCCCCTACCCCTAATCCAGGGAAAATTGTCTTCCATGAATGGTCCCTGGTGCCAAAATCATTGGGGACTACTGTGCTGTAGGATTGAGTAAAGAGACAGTGTCAGGTTACACACATATACAAGCATGCACATACATTTATATACAGGAAATTTCTACCTTCACATGGCTACATTTTCCCAATTTAGTTGAAACATCCCAGGAGATATTAGGAGTGCTGACTATCAAGAAGACATCACAATCTGGGACCAGCATTTGGCATAATGGCTATGTTGCTGGACTCCTATGTAATCAACCGCGGTTCAAGTCCCGGACCCAGTGACTTAAACTCACGCCGGGTGCGTGTGCATGCATGCCCAAGATCCCAAGAGGAGAATGGAGGAGAAGGGATTGCGGCGTGGCCATCCTCCCTGGGGGGTGATTTCTTGCTTTCTGTCTCTCGGTCTCTCTCTGTCTTTCTGGTGAGCACACGCGTCCTATAGCAAAAACCTCTCCAAAAAAAGAAGACATAATCTATGAACAGCCTTAAAAGATGACAAATGCTTGGGCCAGCTCCATGGCCTAGTGATTAAGAGAAGCTGGATCTCACATGGCCAACTGTGGTTCAAATCCCAGCCCCAGCAGCTTGAAAAACATGTTGGGTATTTGTGTGTGCATACCCCAAATCCCAACATGATGGAAAAATGGGAGAGTAGAGATTGGCATGACCATGCCCCACTGGGGGAGGGGTGCTTTCTCCAGCTCCTTCTCTCTCTCTCTCTCTGTATCTCTCTCTGGTGAGGCCATGCACCCTCTGGTAATTAAAAAATAAAGATAAATGCCACAGAACATTTATAACAGGTGGTTTGGATTCCTACTGTGTGTGACTAAAGAATAAGAAAGCCCCCTAACCCAAGAGAACCTAAGAAACATAGTGTTAAAACCCTGGCTTTTGACAGGAAGTGGAAGAACGTGGAAGATTTACTGCTGAGTGAAGCAAGTCAGGCTATGAAGGAGAGACATTTTATGTCTCCACTTACTATATACCGAGTGTCTGCACTCTATGAATGAAGCAGATTGACTGAAGTATATACAAACACAGTAAATGGGTGTAAATATCAGACATGGTGTGTGTGGAATAGTAGGGTCTGAGTAAGAACATTCAGAAGAAAAATACGAAGGCAAAGCATTAATGGGACAAAGAAATGTGGTATTATCTGTTGAAGATATTTTATAGTTTTATCAACTGGACTAGGGAGAAATGTTCACATACTGAAATACTCACTTTGTAAGCTAAATTATGTGATTGAATTTATAAAAGAAAATGAAATTTTAAAAAATTTCAATGAAAGCTGAAAAAAAAAAAAAAAGAAGTGCAATGTTTAGTGTTAGAATATTCTTCAACACAAGAGCAGTGTTTTCTGGTACTAAAAGGACTTGTTATTAGTAGAACATGCTCAAACTCTGGAAGATCCCTTTCTGAGACTTCCCATGAGGTACAATAAAATATCTCCGGGACCAGCAGATAGTGTAATGGGCTGGACTCCTGTGTAGTCGACCACGGTTCAAGTACAGGACCTGGCTGTTTAAAACTCACACTGGGCGCATGTGCTTGCATGCCCCGAAGATCCTGAGAGGAGAATAGAGAAAAAGGGATTATGTGGCCACTCCCCCAGGGGATGATTTCTCACTTTCCGTCTCTCTGTCTATCCAGTGAATGCACGTGCCCTATAACAAAAATCTCTCTAAAAATTAAAAAAAAAAGTCTTCCTTTTGTAATTTAAGCAGGTAACTCCCAAGTGAAGAGTGAGATCCAGCAGCCTGTCCATCCCAAGCTGCCAAGTCCAGATGCCAGAGCCTCCAGCCTTTCTGAAAGTTCTCCTCCCAAAGCAGTGAAGGTATGATGACAATTTATCTCTGAGCATGTAGACACTGGTTTATGAATAGAGATAACAACATCTTTTATCATTATGTTTGTTATGGCCTGTATTTGCTTTCAAGCAATACTTACATGAGGGTATACTATTAGATATTAAGGAACACAGAAATTTTTGTATGCTAAGAAAATTTTACTAGGTTACTTATTCAATCTATGGTCTCCTTTTATACTCCAACTTTATTTTATTTTATTCATTGTCATTATTATATTTTTTTGAAGTTGACCAGAGAGAGAGAGAAGGAAAGTGAGAAAGCAAGTTGTCAGGTCTAGGACTCTAACTGCAGTCAGCCATGTGGGTGTCTAGCCTTAACTACCACGCCACCTGCCAGCCCCTATACCCCAACTTTTAAAAAATAGTCTTCTCCCTTTGTATGAACATTCCCGTAAAAACAAACGAAAACTTTTTAGAATTCCAAAACTTACTTTAGGCTTAACTGACTTGTTTTAATCATTTTGTCAGTATCACCTATTTAGGTTAACAACCACACATACCCACACTTTTTCTTTTTTAGAATTTTTAATTTAATCTGTTGTTTTATTTATTATTATTGTTATTATTTATTTATTTTTAATATTATCTGTTTATTTTGTTAATTATTATTGATATTTTTAATTTGCTCTAGGGCACGTGTGCTCACCAGAGAGAGAAACAGAGAGAAAGAGGGAAAGTCAGAAGGCAAGCTGCCGGGTCCAGGACTCAAACCATGAATCACCACATTTCTTTAGTGTCTTTCTACTGTAGTGCTCTTTAAAGTAGCTGGATTTTGTTTGAAATGTTTCAGCTTTTGAGAGAAACTCTATAGGTAGAATTAATTTTAAAGTTTGTGCTGCCCCACCCTCAGACTTCTGTCTCTTCATTGTGTGCATGATTGTTCCCTTTGATGAAAGTTTTAGTGGACAGAAAGAATGAAGAGAAGAGGAGATGGGTAAAGATCTGGGGCTCTATAGAGGAGAAAAGAAAATCTAGGATTTAAAGGGGGGGGAAGAGAAAAGTAGAGGAAATAAACATGAAAATCTTAAAGGGATCAGGAGAGTAAGATTTATTGAAAAAGAACAAAAGCTGGAGAAAGTAGCAAGAGAAAGCAAGCACAAGAAAAAAGATCTGGGTTAGGATGATTGCCTTTGCACATGTATTCAACATGACTGTGCTGGCCTTGAAAATCTGCTCATGCTGCCATCAGCACTTTCTCTTTCCTGTGTCTGGAATCCAACGGAGTAGCAAATGCCACAGCGTTACTTTGCTGCCCAACAGCAGCCCTGCCCAGATATAATTGTTGGGATTATGATTCTGGACCAAAAACAGCTAGCAAGTCTGACCTGGTCATGAATTCTATATGCAAGGGGATCAGGGCAGTTCCCTGGCTAATCTACAAACTAAAATCTGTTATTGAGAATATTTGAATTCACAAGAATTTCCAAATTCTCAACGTGGTCTTGCTTTCCTCCTGCAACTGCTAGGTCAGATCTCCTCTTTATAGTGGGTCGGACTAACCCTATGCTGAGTGGGGATCCCTCCTGATTCAGACTCCAGGGTCTGAGCTGATGAGGCGTGTGAGAAGGGACACATCTCATTTAGGTCTTCTGCGGTGCACAAGGGAGAAGAGTCAGAGGCAAAGCCTGTCTCTACCTGTCTCAGACCTGCACTTGCTCCTTTGACCCTGGTCACTCGGCAGTAAAATGCAGACAGCCCTGCCTTCAAAGGTTTGGAACATTGCTTAAAGACAGGAGCAGGACCCACTCCATAGTCTAGGGGTTAGGGCAACTAGATTCCATTTGCCTGATCGCATGGTTTGAGTTCCAGACCTAGCAGTTAGAGAAACATGCCAGAAATATGTGTGGACCCCAAATCCCAGAAGGTGGAAATGGAGAAGGGACTACAGTCCCATAGGGGGTGCTTTCTCACTTTCTCTCTGTCTCTCACCGGTGAGTATACACACTCCCTAACAGGAAAAAAAAAAAAAAAAGAAAGAAAGAAAGAAAGAAAACAGGAGTAAACTAACCAGGCTCCCTATGTTTGCTTGTGGTCCAGAGTTCAAGTGGTCATAGTGTACAGAGCCTGGGTGGGACCTATTTGCACATCCAGTTTTAGGCAAGGGCAATTTATTTTCACTTCCTCAAGAGTTCCCCTTTCTAGTCTATAGGCAAGTATATAGATACTTTAGTTACTGTCCAGCGAAGATCTGCTGGCATAATTGGTCTTGTGGCTATAGACTACGCAACAGAAGTATTTTCTCCACTTTGGAAAATTACATACAGCTAAGAATAAACTTGTTCACTCAGAATAGATTTTTTTTGGGTCCCACATATCCCAGAAAAAAACTGTTCTTAGCGCCTGTCTGTTACTGAAAATAGGACATCTAAGGTAGAGAATCAGTTCATTTTAAATTTTAGCCTAATGAAGTAAAAAAAAAAGGCAGGACCAGCAGGTGGCATGGCAGTTAAGGTGCTGGATATTCCCACATACACAGTTCGAGTCCCAGACCTTATGGCTTGCTTTCTCACTTTCCCTCTCTCTCTGTGTCTCTCTACAGTCAAATTAAAAATAAATGAATGAATAAATAAAATTAAATAAAATAATTATTTTTAAAAATAATAAAAAATAAAGTAGAATAAAAGCTATCTAGTTCCCTCCCCCCAGGTTTTTGCTCTAGGGTGTGTACACTCACCAGAGACAGAGAGGGGGGGAAAGAAATCACCCCCTGGGGTAGTGGCCATGCTGTAATCCCTTCTCTGTTCTCCTTCTGGGACTTTGGGCATGCGTGCACATGTGTCCAGTGTGATCTTTCAAGCTGCCAGGTCCAGGACTTGAACTGTGGTCAGCTATGTGGGAATCTCTGGTCAGCTATGTGGGAATCTAGCACCTTAACTACCACACCACCTGCTAACCCCTATCTAGGTCTTCTTAAAAAGTATTTATTTATTACATAATTAAGAGAGAGAGAGACAGAGATGGAGGTACAGCATCTCCAACAAGATCTTCACACTGTGATCCACCCCCAGCCTCAGGAAACTCTGGATCACAGGCCCATGGGTGCTTGTCATCCTTGGGGAGGTCTCTGTACTCAAACCAGTAATTCGCCCATGTGGGTCAGCATCACAGAGCATCACGTTTTACTACTGCACCACTGTCTAACCCCTAAGTACTAATCTTTAAAAGTAAGAATTTGGGGGACCTGCAGATGGTATGATAGGTACATTGTTGGACTCCCACATAGTTGACTGCAGTCCGAGTTCCAGACCCAGCAGCTTGAAACATGCCGGGTGCATGTATGTGAGTGCCCAAAATCCCAAGAGGAGAATGAATGGAGGAGAAGGGATTGCGGTATGGCCATCCCTCCTGAGTGGCGACTTCTCTCTTTCTATGTCTCCACCGAGCACATGTGCCCTATAGTAAAAACATCTCTAAAAATTTTAAGAATGTTGTATGTTTTGAACACTGGCCGTATCACTCAGTTGACAAGACCTGGAGTTAATGAAGTTCATGTTGCAGCTTCATTCTCAAAAGGAGTGTTATTCTGAACAACAGAGTTCAGTGGACCCTGTGAGGAGTCAGACCTTTTCTACCTCAAGAGGTTCAAGGACTTTTCATTGTAAACTAATCCTCAATAATATTGGAAAAAGAAATTGAGAGCCTCAGAGATCTGCTAAGCTTTGTGGTCTCCTGTGTGAAAGAAGTCATCTAAGTGTTCCTGGAAGGGAGAATAAGGGAGGAAAAGGCAATGAGATGTGACTGTCCCTGGGGAACACGACCTTGGTGCCACTATGTCCAAGACAGCCCAACCCTAGGTTTCCTTGGCCTGTTCTGATGAACGTGGAGAGAAAACATGGCAGACTGCATGAGAAGACACTCATTGCAGTCTGCCAGCTGTTCCTCCCTCTGTGGACAGGTTAGGAGGTTTGTACTATTTTGTGAAGCTAGAGGGCATCTAAATCTTTCTCACTGTCGAATTATTGCTTTCCCAAGGCCCTAATCTTTCTTCTACGTACAGAGCAGTCTGGCAAAGATAAAACTATTGCCAGGGCCAGCAGCTGGTGTGGAGATTAAGAAGCTGGATCCCACATGGCCGGCCAATGGTGCTATTCTAGTCCCAGACCTAGTGGCTTCAAAAACACCCTGGGCACGTGTGTGTGTGTGTGTGTGTGTGTACCCAAAATCCAGAGAGGAGAATGGAAGAGAAGGGATTGCAGCGTGGCCATCCTCCCTGTGGGTGACTTCTCACACATCCTCTCTCTCTAGCAAGTGCACATGCTCTTCTATAGCCATAGTAAAAAAAAGAAAGAAAGAAAAGACGACCATTTTCTGAAATACTTTTACAGAGAGTTACACAAAAAGCTAGGGGAAGGGTTAAGGCTGCACACAGTCAGTCCATCCATGTACTATGTGGCGAAGCATTTAATTTTCATGACCTAGGTATTTTGCACAAATTGGAGGAAATGAAAGACACTTTTGTAGTGTTCTACCTAAGGATTTGAGGCCTGATACCAATACAGAATTTTCTTTTGATTCCACTATATGTCTAAAGGCTGGTTAACTGTACTGCCTGTTGCCAGCTACTGCCCCTCACCCCACCACACACACACACACACACACACACACACACACACACACACACACCAACTAAGGTCTTCATTAGACTAAAAAATACATATAAGAGAATGACAGAATGTAGATTAAGCCATGTGAATTTATTCAAAAGATAGCTTTAAAGATGTTCATCAATACAGGCTCCCTAATATCCCTCGTAGAGGAAAGACCATGCTTGTAAACATCAATTATTTATGTATTGCCTCATTCATTTCAAAATATCCTGAAGATATTATCTACTCACTTTAATTTGAAACAAAGAGAACATTGTTGTTTGTTCAAAGTGCAATAGTGAGATTATTTTCATTTGAGTTAGCATCTGCTCTATTCTCCAAAGAGGTTTCTTTAGTTATGGAAATTTAACATTCTAGGACCATTTAGAAAAATGCTCTGTTGGTTCATGAGTCTGGAGCACTAAGTTTTAATTCTAACTCTGTTACTGTGTGAACTTTGATACAGCAGCTGATGGGCTGGTGCTTTGGTTACAAGTGAAAACTGGTGGAGCAAAGGGAATAAAAAGTCTCCTTTTACTAACTGCAAAAAATATATATCGTAAAGATAAGAAATGCCTAACATTCTCACGTTGGCAGCATTTTTAAACGTGGCTGTGCCAAGTCTGGGCATGCCATGCAGACATGGGCAGGATGTATGCCAGGCCGACAATAATGGTCGAGATTTGGGGGCACTGACTATGCTTCCTGTTGTCTGAATAGACATGGGGGCAATTACAGGAACGTGGCTGAGTGCCCAGGACAGAGAAAAGAAAGGGAAGGCGCAGCCGCAGCCACTATGACTTGGCAGAATACCACGCTGGGATCCTCTCGTCTTTATGAAACTATAAAGGCCCTCAGGCAGCTGCTGCAGAAACGTCAAATAGTATTTATGTGAGAAATGAATAGGAATAATGGGAAGCTGGTAGGCCTGGCTCGTTCAAAGCTGTAGTCAGTCAGTTGTTTGAGTTAGCCATCTATTAATATGATGTTAAGGAGAAAGAGTGACTTTCTACTTGTGTGGGTGAAGGCTCCACTTAAGAGTGAGCCCTTGTGGGTCAGGTGTGGGAGGTTGTAAGACACTAAAGAATTGTTAATGAGACACTCCTTGTGTGGGTGAAGGCTCATAAAATTTCTTTCTCCTGAACTGGGCTATGTTCCAGCCTCAGGGATATACGACAAGTGAGACTGATTTTGCCACAATTAGTAGAGTTACTTGAAAAAGAAAAAAAAAAAAGTGATCTTATTCTTGGATCTGAGTGTGTGAGTTTGAGCTCAGCTGCAGTAAAGCCCTCCAGGGCACACCAAATGCTGTGTATTCATTGAAGGTTCCTGTTTGTCTCTTCCAGCTTCTGCTTCCTGTTCCTGGTACCTAATTTCTGCTCCTGCCTTCCACTTTCCTCCTAATGTGAGCTCAACTTTTAGCTTTCTCTCCGGTTCTCCTTTCCGCTGGCTGGGCTGCAGCCTGCTCAGTGCGTGCTTGCCCTCAGTATATCTGTAAAGGAGGCGGGCTGTGTCCCTCTCTTCCCTTTTAGCAGGCTATGTTCCAGCCTCAGGGATATACGACAAGTGAGACTGATTTTGCCACAATTAGTAGAGTTACTTGAAAAAGAAAAAAAAAAAAAGTGATCTTATTCTTGGATCTGAGTGTGTGAGTTTGAGCTCAGCTGCAGTAAAGCCCTCCAGGGCACACCAAATGCTGTGTATTCATTGAAGGTTCCTGTTTGTCTCTTCCAGCTTCTGCTTCCTGTTCCTGGTACCTAATTTCTGCTCCTGCCTTCCACTTTCCTCCTAATGTGAGCTCAACTTTTAGCTTTCTCTCCGGTTCTCCTTTCCGCTGGCTGGGCTGCAGCCTGCTCAGTGCGTGCTTGCCCTCAGTATATCTGTAAAGGAGGCGGGCTGTGTCCCTCTCTTCCCTTTTAGCAGAGTAACTCCCATTTCCTCTTAGACCATGTGAAGTTTCTGTCTCCTATCCTGTCTTTGCTGACCACAATGAGTACTTATTCTCCTAAAGCTATTTAAAGTGTTAAAAACACAGAATTCCCTCTCTGTGACGAAAAAAGACTTTCAATCTGAGAAGCACATTTGTCCTATTACTTTTACATTATGTGAATTGTGATTTGTACAGGCTTTCTCCAATAGCTTCACTTGTACTGTTTAAAAAATGCAGATTTGATTCTGCATTTTAATGTATCTCTTGCTTGGTAGACAAAGACCTAGTTCTTTTAGAGAAACCCTAATTAAAACTATCAAAAGACACCTCCATTTAGGTCCTGTCTTGTTAGAATGTGCATCTAAGAATGAGGGGGAAAAAATCATTCTGAGTGCCAATTAATGCTTTAATTACTTCCAGCAGCTCTCAATACAATAACAGCTGGCCGCAGCTAAATGCCTCCCTAATGCTTGGTAAACTAGGCTGGAGTCTATGGTCTTTTGACTCTTTAAATGTTTCCCTTTAGGATTTTTACCCCTAGAATGAAGGGACAGTGCTATTAAGTAGCCTATTCCACTTAGTTTAGCACCTTCATTCTTAATCTCTTGAGTGCTATTTGAGAGTTCACCACTAATTTTATTAAACTCCCTTTTATAGATTTTTCCCTTTACTTCCATGTTACGCTCAATTTTCTGTTCTCGTTCCCTGTCCGAATCTATTTGGGAAACTATTCCTTTGTTTTCCTTGACCTCCTCATGAATCATGCGGCAAGTAAACCAGAAGTCTGATTTTTTTTATGGGCCTAGATTTGAGGTTTTAATTGAAAAATATGATCTTGCCTATAACCTGCCTTATTTTAGGTTTAATTTAACCATTCACATCCTGAGACTTGGGAATTACTTGTATTATTTACCACCATTTGTTTTCTGGTGAGGTTCCACCTAGTCTGGACAGCAAAAGAGACCTTCTAGATGCTGATGAGGGCTTCCTGGCCCTCTAAGCTGTTTCCTGCAGCTATCGTCGAGGTGTTCATGTTAGACCAAGTCAAGGGTCACTCAAACACTTAGGGAATTCTTATTCCTATCTCAACCTTAGGAAGCCATGTAATAATTTCTTACCATGTAAAACATATGACATTTTTAAGATTCTGGCTTTTATCAGTGCTAGAATGCTGATTATTTTATATTCTTTAGAATTGAGCAGAACCACTATGCCCACAATTATTTTATTCTTTACAAAGATTTCATGGATTCCCAGCCATTAACTAATGAATTTCCCATTGCATTGGTTTTATTCTCTGTTGATTTTTAGAAATATTATAAAACTTACACCTTTATGGAGCTATGCTTCCTTTTGGACTTCTAATAAAATAGTTTCTGTCTCTTATAAATTGTTCCATTTGTGTGTCAGCTTTGACTAGTTTGAAATCATTATGCTGGGCCAGCAGGTGGCATGGTGGTTAAGGCGCTGTATCTCACATGACCAACTCATAATTCGAGCCCTGGACCCAGTGGCTTATAAAACACCCCAGATACATATGCAGTCCATGCCCCAAATCTGAGAGAATGGAGGAAAAAGAGTTAAAGGAATTAAAGCATGGCCATCCCCTTTGGGTGTGATTTCTCACTTTCCCTCTGTCTCTGTCTCCAGCAAGCACAGAAAACATAAAGCAAAAATAAATAAATAAATACATAAAATCTTTATGCCTAGATGATCAATCAGATTATAAGTAGAAAGGAATAAAAGATGCTTTATTAAAATGCCTTTTCTTAATTCCCAAAGCCAAATGTTCTTTCTCACTTTGAAATTTCTCTCCTTCAGAATCTGTTTTTATAATAGTCTGTCCTGATTTCACTTGGCCCCTGAATCAAACTTCTTTCTCCTACATGTGATATATTTTCTCTCAGTATCCCCCCTCTACCCTGCTCCTAACATGTTGTATGTACTTTTGAAAAGTGTGTTGTGGCTTAGCTAAGCCTTTCCCTGCAATCCAACACTAGCTCCACCTGTCCTCCATGGCTGCTACACTTGGGACAGCCAGCGGTTTGGGAAAGGAACCCAGGTGGGCATCTTTGCTGTTAAGAGTCAGCTGATAGAACCATAGCAGTGTTCCTATCAGAACTGACTGACCAGCTAAGAGAGCTGTAAATTAAATTCATAGGGCCCATCTCAGCAGACTACTAATTAACCACAGTCTTTGCTAATGTTGTTCTTTTCCTTTTCTTAGAAGTTTCAGGCACCTGCAAGAGAGACCTGCGTGGAATGTCAGAAGACGGTCTACCCAATGGAGCGTCTCTTGGCCAACCAGCAGGTGTTTCACATCAGCTGTTTCCGTTGTTCCTATTGCAACAACAAACTTAGGTAAGCCAGACCAAAACAAGCCAGCACTCTGTATAGTTGGAGCTCCAGAGGGAGTCTGGTTTTTAGAACACTGGTACTTCAAGCATTGTGCTAATGTGGTATTCCACTGAAGGCTCTGAAGTAGAGTAAAAAGCAGTGTTAAATGATGTGTCTTTCATATAAAATAATAATGGTGTTTGGAACTTCTTGGTACATTGATACGTTAATTTACGTGTTAGGCCTGTAGCTTAAATAACATGGGTTACAGGTAAAACCCCAGTGACTTAATTTATAGTAGAATGTTTCCCTTGGTATCACAAAGTTAAGAAATCTCAAGAGGTTACTTGCCTAAACTCTTACTTTAAAGTATCCTAAGCACTGTATCAGTAGTAATAATGGTCCCTGAAGAGCGTGTATTTTTCTCTATGTTGCTTCATTTTATTTATTTCTGAGAAAATATTCCATATCATTTCTAGCAAGTAACTTAAGGTATGGAGATAAATGTGAGAAATATTCTATATTAATTCATTTTAATCATAGAATTTTATAAAAGAAAGTAACCAATATGTTACTTCCTCTAGTTTTTCTAGAATGCCAGCATTCTTTCTAAAATATTCTTGAAATGTCCTGGTATTGGTCTAGTGGTTAAAGGAGCCAAAGCCCACATAGCCAACCACAGACCAAATTCTAAGCCCCTGTGGCTTAAAAAACATGTTGGGTGACAAAGAAAGAAAGAAAAACGTGTGTGTGCATGTGAGTGCATGTCAGAATCCTGACTGGATGGAGAAGTGGGAGAAAGCATCGCAGTATGACCATACGCCAATGAAGGGCTCTCTCTCTCACAAGTACACACACCCTCTGGTGATTTAAATAAAATAAAATTAAAGATGTCCTGACATCTGTGTGATACTTACAGCGGGGTAAATACCTAACTACAGCTAGTTCCAGTGTTAGATAGCTCTGGTTAGACCACTTTTCCTTTTATTGAATGAAAATGCACCACTGTAACGTGTACACATTAGTTCTTTTTCCACCCGCTATATTCTTTTTTTTTTTAGAATTATTTACTTAATTTTATTTATTCATTCATTTTTTAAAAAATTGACCAGAACAAGACACAGAGAGAGAGAGAGAAAGTGAGAAAGCAAGCCGTCAGGTCTAGGACTTGACCTGTGGTTGGCCATGTGGGAGTGTCCAGTGCCTTCACCCCCACACCACTGGCTGGTGCCCCCACTATATTCTTTTATCCAAAGTACATTATTTCTTTTTGTGAAAATGCTTTTATACTCTCTTTCATTTTTAGAGAGGTTTTGTGCTATAGGGGATGTGCACTCACCAGAGACAGACAGACAGAAAGTGAGAAATTACCCTGTGAGAGGATGGTCACACACCGCAGTCCCTTCTCCTCCATTCTCCTCTCGGGATCTTGGGCACGCACGCTCACGTGCCTGGCCTGAGTTTAAAGCTGTTGGATCCGTGACTTGAACCGTGGTTAATCATGTGGGAGTCCAGTGATGTAGCCATTATACCATCTGTTGGTCCCAAAAAGTAACCAATTTTAAAGAGAGTATAAAAGATGGTGTAATGGTTACATCGCTGGATTCCCATGTTGTTAACTGTGGTTCAAGTCCCAGACCCAGCTACTTAAAATTCACGCCGGTCATGTGTGGGTGCATGGCCAAGATCCTGAGAAGAAAATGGAGGAGAAAGGATTGCTGCACAACCATCCCCCTGGGAAGTGATTTCTCACTTTCTGTCTCTCTGGCGAGCATATGCACCCTACAGCAAAAATCTCTCTTAAAAACAAAACAAAACAAAACAAAAAAACTGTTACCTTTCAAGAGACACCAAGTCTCCTAAAGGCTGTCCAGCTCTGACACCTACCTTTTAACCTACTACTGACTATTTTCTTTCTTCTTTTTTTTCTTTTCTTTTTAAGGATTTTTTGCCATAGAGCACATGTGTTCTCCGGAGTGAGACAGAGGGAAACTAAGAAATCACCTAGGGGGGTGGCCACTCTAATTCTTTCTCCTCTATTTTCCTCAGTATTTGGGGCATGAATGCACACACATGCCTGGCATGATTTTTAAGCCACTGGGTCTAGGACTCAAACCGTGGTCAGCCATATGAGAGTCCAGCTGCCTTAGCCACCACACCACCCGCTGGCCCAATTGTTCTCCTATTAACCATAGCTTACTTTTATTCAATCAATGGTCGCTATTGAGTGCCATTGGTTTATACAGCTTTATACCCATTCCTATAGAGTTACGCTTTTATTTGTCTATAATTTGCCAGAGGACATGTGTACTCAGTGGAGCAAGACAGAAAAAGAGAGAAAGTGAGAAAGTGCCCTTCGTGGGGGATGGTCACACCACAATACCTCCTCCTCCATTTCACCCTCCTTTCAGGATTTTGGGCATGCGCACACACATGTGTCCTGAATATTTCTCAAGCTGCCAGATCTGGGACTCATATTGCTCAGTCAACCATGTAGGATCCAGCTACCTCAACCACTGCACCGCCCACTGGCCCTGCTTTTAAGTGATAACTCAAATAGGAAAGTAGGAACACAAAGATTCAGCTCTTCATAGACAAATATTTTAAATAGTTACAGGTTATGTACACTGAGGAAAGAAATCTGAATGATCAGAGCTAAGTAAGATTATGTAAGGAAGACTCCCAGGAAGCAGAAATATTTAGTTTGTTTGGTTCAGTTTTAGGTTTTCGTTACTGTTACTTGTTCGTTTGAGACAGTGTCACTGTGGTGGGCTGGCCTTGAACTCAGGTTCCTCCTGCTTCGGCCTCCTGTAACAGCTGGGATTACAGGCACACACCACAACACCCAGCTTAATATTTTTTAAAAATAATTATTTTATTTAACTTTATTTATTTATTTTTAATCTGACCAGATAGGGACAGAGAGAAAGAGAGAGAGAGAGGGAAAGTGAGAAAGCAAACCGCCAGGTCTGGGACTTGAACTGCAGTCGGCCATATAGGAGTCTAGTGCCCTTAACTACTATGCCACTTGCTGGCCCCCAACACCCAGCTTAATATTTAAAATAGTTTTGACAGAGGAGAATAAAATCATTTAAAAATGGGGAACACATACCAGTTGGAAGAATGACTTGTGAGTGTTCAGTTTTGGAAGCAAGCATGTTTTGTGTAAGGATATGAAAACTAATCTGCTTAAAAGGGAATGCTGGGACATCGATGTGCTTTTCAAGATATTTTTCTCGCTTAGCATCTTCCGAAAAATACTACAATTGCCAGATTTTAGCCTACTGGTATAAATGAGAGTATGAAGATGTGCTAACTTTATGCTCTTGTTCTTTCAACAACAGTCTAGGAACATATGCATCTTTACATGGGAGAATCTATTGTAAACCTCACTTCAATCAACTCTTTAAATCTAAAGGCAACTATGATGAAGGCTTTGGACACAGACCACACAAGGATCTGTGGGCAAGCAAAAGTGAAAACGAAGAGACCTTGGAGAAACCAGCTCAGCTTCCGATGGCAGGAGAGGCCCCTCAGAGCCCAGGGGTGGAAGAGGCCCCCATTGCTAAAGTTGGTGTGCTAGCTGCAAGTATGGAAGCCAAGGCCTCCTCTCAGCAGGAGAAAGAAGACAAGCCAGCCGAAACCAAGAAGCTGAGGATCGCCTGGCCACCCCCAGCCGAACTCGGCAGTTCAGGAAGCACCTTAGAGGAAGGGATCAAGGTGTGTAAGCCCAAATGGCCTCCTGAGGATGACATCAGCAAGCCTGAAGCTCCTGAAGATGTAGATCTGGATCTGAAGAAGCTAAGACGATCTTCCTCGCTGAAGGAAAGAAGCCGCCCGTTCACTGTAGCAGCTTCCTTTCGAACCGCGTCTGTCAAGAGCCCCAAAACTTTGTCCCCTCCTATCAGGAAAGGCCAAAGCATGTCAGAGCAGATCGAAGAGTTTGAAGGAGGAGTAGTAACAGAAAGGAAACAAGTGGAACAGGCTAAGGCCTTCGAGAGGAATGGAAGTGTGGGAAAAACAACCTGGCAAAATAAGGAATCTAAAGGAGGGGAGGAAGAGAGAAGAAGTAGGGAAGTTCATAGTTTTGAAATGGAGAGTGAGAATCTAGTAGAAAATGGTGCAAACTTAGATGAAGATGATAGCAGTCTCCTTAAACAGCAATCTCCACTAGAGCCCAAGTCTCCCAAATGGTCTAGCTTTGTAGACAACACCTCCACGGAAGAGTTCACTACTCAGCATCAGAAATCCCAGGATGTGGGATTCTGGGAGGGAGAAGTGGTCAAAGAGCTGTCTGTGGAAGAACAGATAAAGAGAAACCGGTACTACGATGAGGATGACGACGAGGAATGACAAATTGCAGTGGGTTTTTCATTTGTGTTAGTGTTAGTGAGCCACTGCCCTTTATCAAAGTGATGCACATAAACAGGTATCTTAGCATGAACTGTTATTTATGTGGAAATAACTTGGCAAAGCGTTCCTGCTTCAAAAGAAACCTACACTGCAGCTTAAACAAACCAGTTCTAAAAGCTTGAGATAACATTACTTAAATCTTCCATTTTAGCAGTGATGGTACACATAAGTGCTTTAAGCCGAGAAATATTCCATCTCATACAGTCCAGATTCCACTGTATTCCCAAAAGGCAATATTACAATAGATGGATGGTTAGTAGCACATTGACACACTACAAACCCTGTGGTGGAATGAGAGAACATATGGGAGAGATTTAGAAACCTAAACATTATAACTGAATGCACTTTAGTATAAAGGGCACAGTTTTGTATATTTTTAAATGAATATCAATTTTTTAGCATTCATCTGTTCAGAGATATCAAATATTTAGTCTTTTAAAATTTTTCTAAGGTTAACTTTCTTACTTTGATATATGTAAGGAATTATTGCTTTGCATCCTGCTCTCTAAACTACATCCTGAACCAAATTATTGAGGTATAATATAGCTATCTTTTCAGAGCACCTTTGGAAGCAATCGAAGAACCAACTCATGTGCTTTGGTGCTTGGAGAGACCCACCGTCTCCCAGATAAGCTGTGGTATTTGCCAATGAGTTTGTACCCCAAGTGATTGCTTTCTTCTCTGGTGGTATCTGCGCTTCTCAGAACTTACTGAAAGCTGCAATACTTGGGTAAGGTCTTTTTGATCACTTTTCACCACGTTCCATGTTAGAGCAAAGTGGGGAGTTTAAAGGAGGAATAAGAGAAAGAACCGCCTTAAACCACTTGAGTCCAGATTTCCAAACCATGTAATCCACTTCTGATATCCCCTTTCTGAGACACTAATTTTTTAAATACTTATCAGCTCTGAAATGTATTGGTTTTAATGACAGACAGTACTCCCAGGGTGAAATTAAACCAACTATAGGCTTTTTTCTTGGGATGGTTTTCTAGTATTCAGGCTTTGGGACATTTTAAACTCAAGTACATTTTTTGTACATAATTGATATTCCAAATTGTATGTATGGGAGTTAGAGGTGTTTTAAGCTGTAGGCTTCTCTTTGTAATACTTTTATATATATTTAGCAATAATATTTTTTAGAGATGTAAAATATTCTGCTTTCTTGCTTAATCTGAAACATTTTTATTCAATAAAGCTTTTAATTTACATTTGAATGTTTTAGTTGTCCCCTTTCCATTATTTCTTTACATCATTGCAGCCTCTCATGACCTATTTTTGTTTTAGTAGTTTGGGAATATAGGCAAATAGGACTAATGTGTTTTAGGTGAAAAGAACTATGAGTATATTCCACCACTAGGTGGTGGTGTTGGGCTAATCTTGAGCCTTCATCCTGCCTGAAGGAAGAAATTTTTCTCGTCAATTGGAAAGCAATTTGTCAAAAGAATTAGTACATGCATTCAAAATGTTTGTTTTACCAGTTCAGAATCCAGTGGTGGTTTTTATTGTTTTTACTCGACATTTAACAATTCACCTTATAATCATACCTAACCTGCCTGGTCTTCTAAGTGGATGACAGAGTACTACGTTCTGCTTTTGCCTCACCTGCCATGCCCCAACCAAGCTGAAGTCATTTAGAAATCTCTGTTCACTGAACAAGTCATCAAGTCATTCATTACTCACAGTCCCCCTACTGACATTCATAAAATACCCAATCCTGGCTTGAGTTTAACTACCTTTACTGTGGGACTCACTCCTTGATACCCTAACTCGTCCACATGGTACTCAGTATGTGCATTGACTTTATTTATTTATTTTTTAATTGCCAGAGAGTACATACACAAACCAGACAGAAAAAGAGAGAGACAGATAGGGTCTGGCAGGTGACGTGGTGGTTAAGGTTGCTCAACTCCCACATGGCTAACCACAGTCAAGTCCTGGACCTGGTGGTTTGCTTTCTCACTTTCTCTTTCTCTTTCTCTTTCTCTCTCTCTCTCTCTCTCTCACTGTGTCCCTCTGTGGCCAAATTTAAAGAAAGAAAGAAAGAGAGAGAGGAGGAAAGAGAGAAAGAAAGTTAGTTAAGTAATTTTTAAAAAGAAAAAGAGACCGGGAACCATCAGTTAGCCTAATGGCTATGTCGCTGGACAACCACGTAGTCGACCGCGGTTTGCGTCCCGGACCCGATGGCTTAAAATTCACGCCGGGCGCGTGTGCATGTGTGCCCAAGATCCCGAGAGGAGAATGGAGGAGAAGGGATTGTGGCATGACCATCCCCTCTGGGGGGTGATTTCTTGCTTTCTGTCTCTATGTCTCTCTCTGTCTGTCTGGTGAGCACACGCACCCTATAGCGAAAAACCTCTCAAAAAAAAAAAAAAAAAAAAAAAAAAGAAAAAGAAACAGATAAAGCAACCCCTACTGGGGACATGGTCACGCTGCAATCCCTTGTCCATTTCTCCATCTTAGCAGGATTGGGGACATGGAGGCATGCGCATGTACACATGTCTGGTGTGTCTTTCAAGCCTCTTGGCTGGAATGCAAACTGTGATCAACCCCGTGGGCTTCAGCTCCCTTAACCACTAGGCCATGATCCTATGTACATTGATTCTATACCAAAAAGTCTGAGTGCCTATGGTTATCACTGAATACGTCGGCACATATCCAGTACTTGGGGACTGAAATTACCTTTAGAAGAACCTTTTTTTTGGGGGGGGGGGGAGAGATTTTCGCTCTAGGACGCGTGCGCTCGCCAGACAGACAGAGAGAGACATAGAGACAGAAAGCGAGAAATCACCCCCCAGGGGGGATGGCCACACCGCAATCCCTTCTCCTCCATTCTCCTCTCGGGATCTTGGGCACGCACATACACGCGCCCGGCGTGAGTTTTAAGCCACTGGGTCCGGGACACAAACTGCAGTCGACTACGTGGGAGTCCAGCGACATAGCCATTACGCTAACTGCTGGTTCCCATAGAAGAACCTTTTTTTTAATATCAGTCTTAGACATATCCTTATAGTATAAAGCATAGAAACAAAGAGTAGCTCCAGATTCAATACAATACAAAGATGTCCTTGTCTAGAGAATGACCAGGTAACACGAAACATTCTTAGAAAAAAATTAAAGCAACCTACAAGCAAACATAGCATTAATTATTCTTTCAGCTCCTAAATGAAGATAATCCGGTTCGGACTTGGTATATAAATGTCACAATAGGATAAAAGTTTTTCTGTTGGTGAAGTAGAAAAGGGGGCCAGTTTGGGCCATGAGATGGTTATATTGAGACTCTGCTCCAAGGCCAACATAGTGCTAGCAATTTAGTAGTTGGATTACTCCTGGCCGAAGTGAAGGCAGCACCCAGTTCTTGTTCATCATCTGTTTCATTAGCAGTATGTTTTCTTTTTCCTTCTTTTACATTTTTTGCTGGAGGGCACGTGCACTCTCCAGAGAGAAACAGAGAAAACATAAGAAAGCACCCCCCTACACACCCCGTGGGGAATAGTCACATCATAATCCCTTCTCTATTTCTATTTCCTTTTGGGATTTGGGGCACACATGCACATACGTGGCATGTTTTTCAAACCACCAGATCTGGGACTTGAACCACACAACTGTCCATATGGAATCCATCCACCTTAACTACCACACCATGAGGCCAGCCTGCGATAGGTTTTCTAACAGCCAAATGTGAAATGGTACAAGTGCATTTTTCTGCGGACAGAATTGTGAATAAGGTGTCAGACCGATGCACAGATTCCTGTATGCCCTGTGAGCATGTTCTCTGTTCCTTGGGAACTCTGATTTAAATCTCCATGGAGAGTTATTACTTCCTTTAAAAATGTACTTTGAACACAGGATAATTACCACTAAGTTATTGCTGGGCTTGGACAAAAATGGCTTCAGGCGGTGGTTTGCGAAACAGCGGCAGTAGGCAGTGGCATCACCTGTGAATGTGTTAGAAGGGAGTAATGGGACCCTACTCCCAATCTCCTGAAATCAGAATTTCTCTGGACGAGGTCCAGAAAAATGTGAACTTTCCATGTGAGAGATGGGACTAGCTGATGCCCGTGCTGATGCACACTGAAGTTGGAGAACACTGAGCTAAAGGAAAACCTTTAGTCCTTGGGATGGCTGCTTCCCACCCCCTTTGAAACTCTAACGCATAAACATGACTTACTAGTTATAAAGTTACTTTATTTGTCCTTGGAGGAGAGGTGGAGATTTATAGTTATTTTCTTTTTAGATAGTGTCTCTTTTTTTTCCCTCTTTATGGTCAGAGGGCACATGTGCTAAAAGGAGAGAGACAGAAAGCACCTCCCATTAGGCGTGATCATCGCATAATCCCTTTTCCATTTCCCCATCTTCCCCAGATTTTAGGCACACACACACTGGTGCCTAGCATGTTTTTTAAGTAGTTGAGGTAGGGTTCAAACTGTGGTAGGCCATGTGAGATCTAGCTTCCTACACATAGTGCTTAACCACTATGTTATGGTCAGTCCTAGACAGAGTCTGTCTGAGTCTTGATCCTCCTGCCTCAGCCTCCTAGGTAGCTGGAACCTCAGGTATGTGCACATATATACCACATCAGGCAGGGAACCAACCTGTGTCTACCACATGAACTCAGCCTGCTGGTGGCAGTGTCAACCAGCCCATGATACTGTGTCTGGACCAAGATTTAGTTCTTTTAATCTTTTGTTCAGATCGTTCTAATTAGCTAGTCTCTCGTAATTAATTTATGTAGCTCCACAAAAGAGTTCAGTGTTCAGTGTGAAAACCCAAGATTAAGGCAGATAACAGAATGAGAGCTCAGGGGTCTGGAGTCAAGACTACTTTCTAGCTGCTACTATTTATTTATTTTTTTTATTTATTTTTTTTAGGTTTTTGCTGTAGGGTGCATGCACATCCCGGAGACAGAAGCAGTGAGAGGGAAAGTGAGAAGTCACACCACCCCCCATGGGGATGCCACGCCACAATTCTTTCTCCATCAACCTCCTTTTGGGATTTAGGGCATTCGTGCACGTGCTGGGCATGATTTTCAAGCTCCCAATTGAAGTGCCAGGTGGGAGTCCAGAGCCTTAACCACTAAGGCACCTGCTGGCCCCCAGGCTACTACTTCTTGCCCATATAACCTTGAGTAAGCTTTTGGCCTTTGTGGGCTGCAGTCTACTCATCCATAAAATAGTGGGGATTGTGCTGGCCCTGTAGTGTAGTGGTTAAGGGAGCCAGATCCCACATGACTGACTGTGGTTCACATCCTGGCCCCAGCAACTTGAAAGACAGGCTGGGTGTGTGTGTACCCAAAACCCAACAGGATGGAGAAGGGATTGTGGATGACCATGCCCCATTGGGGGGCATTTTCTCCCTCTCCATCTTTCTAGTTAGCACTCAACAAAAATGGTGGGAATACTATAACTTCACAGGGTGAAGGAATGAAATAACCTCTGTAAAATGTCCCGTGAAGTACCTGGCACGAAAGAAAACTTGTTAAACATTGGCTATCATTTATTTTTCTTTGCCTTTGTATTATTGTTTGGGTGTGTCTCCTTTTTCACATTGCTTTTCTTCCATTTCCTCTTCCCCATGAGAAGAATGAAAGTCCATTTTTTCTGAGGAAAAGTGACTGTAATTTGTTAAGGGATAAAGCAGTGACAGGAGATTGAGGTCATGGAGGGCACCAAGGAAGGAAAAGATTGGGAGTAGAAGGACGCTGAAGAGCAGTAGGCGGGATCCGCTGAGATGGCAAGTTACAAACTGTGGCCCGAGGGAGGCTGGAAGTGGAGACACAGGGATGGCCAGTCTGACAGCCGGGGAAAATCTGAGTTAGCTCTGCTGAAAGGAATGTGCCCCTTCAGGAGCCAGGCCTGAAACTAGAGACGTAGCAAGTGGCTGCAGGGGCCAGTGGCAGAAGCGTGGCCCAGTCCAGGAGCAAAAAGGGGCGGGGTCAGAGGTGCTGGACCGTGGTGGGTGGGGCCGGGGCGGTTCGGGGC